ATATTGGCTTGTTTCACACTACATCCTCGCGGTAAGCCGATGTAGTATCCAGTTGGTATATTGGTGTCCAATTCACCGAACGACATATGCTGAATCTGGATTAAGGGCTGACTTCACCATATCTTCATATCGTATTCAGCATGTATGTGCATAAACTCATCTTGAGGCGTGGTATATAGCTTTCAGATCACGAACTCAGAGCTTGAGCGCTGCATAGTCACGCTGAGATCGAGTCTATCTCACCGGTTGGCACCCCAGTCGTAGGTATTTTGTTGCGAAAATCCAGATCACTCTATATTTGTGTAGAAATCGAGTGCAAATGCATATCCCGTCTTCGCACGATCCTGTACTGGAATATCTTTGAGCCTTTCCTTTACACCAGCATCTACCCGTGTGGCCGTTCTGAGAATCCTTGGCATGTGGTACATGATCGCACTAGCGTATTCATTGTCCATGTTGTTGTTCTCAACGGTTTCCACCGAATCGTCGCACTGAGGGAGCTGCAAAGCTTTTGCAGCGGTGTCAATTGGCACAGCCCAATCCAGAGTGAGCGGCGACGAGTACACGGACTCCACACGACCCACCACAACATACTCATGGTGTATGCGCATGCGAGGCACGATCAAACCGATCCACTTGTTCTCGATGTACTTCAACGTGGATGGCTCAGGCATGAGCACTCGCACGCCCTGCTCGCGCATCCACACGACCAGAGGATCGCTTGTAGCGTCTGGGTTGGCGTTGAGTGATGTTCTGGTCGGTCCACCAGCGGCAGTGTACACACACGTCACACTCGCCTTCCCTATGTCTATCGCACTTGTTATACTCACTTTCAGTTGCTCTTCCTGGTTCTGCTCTCGATCGTACGGGATGATCAGGGGTACTCCCTGGAGCACAGGGATGCGATGGAGTAGTGGGATGGTACCCGAGTTGTACCAAAAGGTATAATCATTCTTGGGAAGGCGCAACATAGCTAGCACTGCTGTGAATGGCGACACAGAGTGACCCAAAAACACAGTGCTCGCCTTACAGATGAAGAAGTCGATCAGCTCCTGCTGCTCCCGTGAAAGCGTGTCGATCGTCCCTGCGTACTTCTCTATATCATCGCGTGTTTGTATGTTTCGAAATACAGCACGCAGTGCGTGTGCGGTACGGGCATGTGCAGGTGTGGATGTGTGGAGATAAATAGGTCTTCCGCCTGGTACACCCCTGTCTTTCAGCAGGTCTACTATCCGCGCAGGCTTAGCGTCAGCGTCCTTGCACAGTGTTTCTATGGCTTTTTCTCGGGTGAGAGGTGGTTTCACCCCGGACTCTGCACCGGCACCACTATGATCGAGAGAGATTTGGTTGTCATAGGACTCACCAACCAATTGTGCGCATTCACTCTCTTTGTCTCCGTCTGGAGCGCCCCATGTTTTATGTGTCAGCACTTCTAGCCCATTAAACACCTTCATAGAGGAAATCTTCGCGACCATATTGCAGCCAGATAGAACAATCTTGGCCAAGAACTGGCATGGCTTTAGGCTGCTAACCGTTGCCAAGAAGATGGACGAGAAAACCGATACATCTGATGCAGACATACTGTATAAAGCACAGCCTGCAATACAAGACAGGTTCACAATATCAGATTATGAGTGGACCATTTTGGGTCACTGTAATGAAATGAGGTACCGCATTAGGAAAAACAACTTTCCCGGTTGAATGAATTAACTGAGGTTGCTACGCCTAACTCCCCATTGTCTAGCAGAATTATATCACATGCTTTCACCCACGAATCACACAAAGTAGTCTTTTGAACGAGGTCGGCTATGCGAGGAGTTTAGACACATCACCTTGCAATCGGACTCTCGGAGCGTCGGTGATGGTAAGCAGTTGCTCGTACACTGTAGACGGCGACATCTTCTCATGCAAAACCTCGGTTATCGTGAGCGACTGCGAAGGTTGCCGTATGACTTTCAAACCCCAACCGTCCATCAAAGCGGATACGAATAACTCTTCGTCGAAAATATCAGAGAACTCTAACCGCTCGCTTTGGGGCACCGAGCCATCTGTATTTAGCCGTTGAAGAGGGAAACGTTGTGTTGTCAAGATATGTTGATGTGGCACTAGAATGAGATGGTGGAATTGATCTGACATCAGACGGTCGTCCCTAGACACGGATGGGTGTAATATGTAGGCCTCGAAAGGTAAGGCTCGAGTGGCGTTGGAAGACGTCTACAGTAAGGCAGACTGTGTTACTCTGAGCGTGCTACTCGTCACACAAGCATTGCTCATCTTTGACGGTGTTGTGTTATCGAGGGTACCTGCATTTAACATCCGCTATGCTATGAGTGTGTAAGTATTTGATGCCGACATAGCAAACCTGTGCATCCATCGATACTAATCCTATGAATGTACCTGAAGATATACATACATACATACATATTTATATGTATATATATATATAAATATATATATATATATATATANATATATATATATATACACACAC